ATGTACGAAGAATGTTCCCTTTCCATGGAATTTCCATGATTTTCCATGGAAACCCCGGAACAATGGGCCGATCGAGGGTGGGCGCGAGAAGAATGCGAAAAAGGCTTTGGGAATCGGGATGACGTGTCTCTTCCCGTAAATGGCCCATGAATATTGAAGCGAGATGAGGGAAAAAAAAATATTTGGGGGGGGGGATACGTTTCCAGCAGAGAGCCGAACGAAGACAATGCCGTCTTCATTTTAATGAAAATATATATTTTTTAATGGTTTCTGAAGTGGGCATGTAAGTCCCGGTGGTTTGTCTCTTGTGGCCTGCGAATCTTTCCTCATAAATATTGTGACGGATGAAGATGGCATCGAGAGGCTCGACTGAATGTCTCGGGTTCGGTGGTGTAAAGGTAGCACACCTGACCGCGTTAGTCCTCCGGGCCCAAGTTAAGCCGGCCGTTCCTTGGCATCTTTCGTCCTCTCTGCCTTCCATCGTCCGTCTCCCACTTTCCCTCCGTAACAATATAACTTCAAATTCTTTGAGGGAAAAGATGTCCAGCTTGTTTTTGAGTTTTGCGTATAATTTGAAAAGATGGGTGTCAGCGCCTTTTTCCTGGTTATTTCTACTTTCGCCCTAGAGGAATCTCGCCCTCGCGTTCCGATTGACAAGAATCACAAGATGTGATATAATCTTTGACCTACACTCGGTTGGGTCGAAAGTGCACAGGAGCGACTTTCCATGCGTCATTTTCATGTCTGATACTCATATCTGCCTCAACCTTTAAAAATGAGAGGCAGGGTCAACTCCCATTGTAAGACGGATACTGATGCATGCCCGGAAGTCACACTTAAACAATTTTTGAACTCGTAGCTTTGATTCAGAAGGAAGAATCGCACATGGAATCGTGGCTGGTCATTGCTGGAGACTGGGGGTGCCAGGATAAGGAAGAAAATGAAATGCAGGGACTGGAAGGCTCGGATTCACCGTCTCCAGAATCTATCCATTTTGGACGAACGAAATTGACCGGAAAAAATATGACACAACCTTGTATTATGGGGTGTCATTTGGGTGAACCGTGTGTTCCTTCGGAAGCAGTTTGTTCAGATTCAATTTTTTTTAGCCGTACGACTTAATTTGTGTAATTTATACCATCATCATCATTCAACTCCTTCATAAGAACAATGATTTCTGAATCCGAGGGACTATGGTTTCTATCCACTCCAAGTCACTTTCAGTACCCATCTTTCACAGGGTGGGAAAGTGAAATTGGGAGTTAACCTTACCTCCCTTTTAAAAGGGTTGAGGCAGACGTGCTTATCAGTCACGAAATCAACGGCTGGAAAGTCACCCCTGTGCACTCTCGCCCCCGCTTATCGAGATGAGATAAAAGGGGAAAATTTAGCAACTATTTTATTCAATTAAGTCTCGGGGGCGAAAGTGGAAGACGCCCTTTTTCCTTCCCTGTCGATCGCGTGCGATCAGACGAGGGAAGGTGCCATTTTAATTTAGGAGACCTGCTCAAATTCATTTCTCTCACATCGTTGAACTCGTACGTGTTTCCTGATGTTTGCACAGTTTGCAGGCTCGTGCATCGAGTTTGCATTGGCTGTAGAAATCGTCATGCCAATCGATAGGTAGGGACTGGAGTATTCCCGCAAATTATTTATCATTGTCTCGCGGCACGATTAAACAACGTTACATTGCCTGGTTCTTTTTCCGCTACGAAGCGATATCTTCCCTGAAGATGGTAAGAAATTTGCAACCTTCATCAGAACGAGCAAATCGGGCTGAGGCCAAGTATTTGTCGTCGCAGCTAAAGGCACATAAATCACATTAAGAAGTGACAATTTTTTCTTTAGCCACGAAAAAATGAGCGAAGAAAAAACAAAAAAAAAACGAAACAAATAGCGGATGAAGCTGAAAGTTATGAGAAAAAAAATCAAGGAATTTCGTGATTTACGACAAGAGCTGGCGACGTCGAAGGATCGATAGAAACTCGATGCCCCAAAGCCTCCGACTTGGAAAATGTTAAGCTTGGAGCTTTTAGTAGCCATGGAAGAGAAGAATTAGGAAGGAGATGGGAATTAATTGGAAAGAGGAAGCTAGCCATGCATGTTTCATCAGCCTCTCATCCCCTTCCTGCAATCGCGGCTAAAACCTCTTAGGTCTATTGCCTCTCGTCGTTCTCCTCTTCCTCTTCTTCCTTTTCTTCCTTTTTGACGGAGCCAGACGCCCACGGGGGTTGCTGATTTCTTCGTTCCGCCGTCGTCATTTTCGTGGGGTCGTGCCGGGAGTCGGTCTCGTTTCTCGTGATTTTCACTTCACAATGACCAAATGACGTCCGGGTTAACTTTTACTTCTGTCAATTTTTCGATCTCCACCAGATGAGTTTTTCTTTGCAATTTTCCATGCTCTCTTTTCATTTGGTGCTTCCGGTGTCTTTGAGTAGGTGTAAGAGGTGACACGTGAACAGCGGTGGCTAATCACGATCATGCACACAATTAAGATATAAAAAAAGAGTAGATATTTGGATCGGACACGAATGGAATAGTTGAACAGTGGCCAAAGTCTTCGATTCTTGAACTGGATTCTTGAGGATTATGGGTTTTGCACGAACTCTCGGTTGTTTGTCGATTACTTGAGTATCATTGGGTTGAGTTGAGTTACCGACCCCTGCCCGAGAATGGATATATCCACGGGAAGGGGGTTAAAGAGGGAAATGCAAAAGGGAAGAAGTGCATCGCAATAAGGGAATGTCTCGCGATAACGAGGACATAAATCAGCGAAGCGAGCTGAAAGATGGCACGAGGGTCCCTCGTGCCTTCCTCTTCGTTCACGCCAAGGTCTCCTTCTTCCGCGTCTCTCTCGGGGTGGGAAAAATAAATATGGCCTGTTATTGTTTGCGGATCGTTCCCGGATCGACCACCGGCCGAAAGAAGGCGAGAGGAAATGGACGCCGGGGTGCCAACTGGAAGACACCCAAAGCTCACAGAAACTCAGAAATACGGTGGCGAGAAGGTTCATTTCACTCGTATGGAGAAGGAAAGAGCGTATACGTGGAGAACATGAGAGGTCTAACACAGTATCTGCCTCCGACGGAGACTTCCCCTCGTGGACAGCGAATGAGTCTCGTGGGATGAGAGACTGGGTAGTACCGCGCCCGACGTCTTCCTTGATGCGTCATCGCCGCCGTCGACACCAGCACCAGCGCCAGCACCAGAACGAGAGCTCTCCACTGCATACTGCGACAGAGACACGGTTCTTATTCTTTCAGGTTCTTGCTACTCGGATGCAGGGCACCATCGGTGACGCATTCGGTCCGATGGGAGGGGAGGGAGAAACCACGGATCATGTGAGAGAATCACTAAGCCAGTTTGTTCGTTGCTAAATGTTTCCTTTCGTGTAAAAGAATCCAGATTTTCCAGAAAGATTTCAGCAGTAACCATACCTAAAACTCTTTAGAGCTGTTAAGGGGTGCAAAAAATCGTATTATCGTGGCCCACTTGACCGGTAAATTGATTGATTTCATCAACTATTAATCAGCCTATAATTCATCCACAATAATTTTGTTCCCTTTCGCCGGATTGAAATCAGGCAGAGGATTTGTGATCCGGTTCACTTGCTCCAGAAAACGATGCCATGTAATGTCAGCATTAATAGATTGATTTATTAATTAATAGATTGATGCTATGAGAGCAATGTAGAATCTGCTTCATCACCCGATCAGTTTCAGTTTTCGACCCATCACAGGGATTGACTGCATGAATAATGATCACATTTCTTCCATAATCGCGATCAATTTGTCGAATGAACATATTCGATTATTTAATCGCGATTAAAAGGTGGATCGATTAATTGATCAAGTAATTGAATCGGATCGGCAAAAAAGCATAGGATTTTCTTGCGATGGAACCTTTCTGTTCCATCTGCCCTTGAGAGCGAGGGAATCGGGCCGTGTTGGCGAAAATCCCCGGAAAAGAAGATTATTATCGAAGGAGCCGTGACATCTGCCTCCAAGCACGGGGAGGATCATCTCCCGCACGGGATCATCTCCTTTTAAGCCCGTGTTAAATCTTTCATGAACTCTCTCGATGCCTCGCGGATTTCCACTTCCCTTTTTTTTTTTTACCCCTCGTAAAACGCCTCCCATACTGTCTCGAGTGCGTTTCATGCGCAAGATGAAATACCACCTCGCGATAAGGTCCCTTTGTAACGGGAGAAAAGACAGCTGCTCCTAATCTCATTCTCCTTCCGAGTAGAGAAACGCGAAAAAAAAAAACAGTTGCAGTCCCACGTTAACCCCTTGAGCTGTCTCAGAGATTTCTTGCATTTATCTGGCTGCTACGTGACAAAAGGCATGAAAGCAATACTCGCTTACCCGTTTCACGTTTTTCGTTTTTGGATTAAAGTCTGCAATGATTTCTCGATTCGCCCCCACCCACTTAATCCCACCCTTAATCCTGCCCCTCCCACCTCTCGAGCTTATCGTATCTCGCTTCCTTCGAATGAAGAGGAAGCACGACTCGTCATGAGGCTTCGGACCGTAAAAGCGATGACTCGACAGACGGAATTTCCCATCCTATGGGTTCATTTTAAAAAATGACGTCATCCGTAAAACTTCTCGATGCCGAAGACTTTATGCTCTTGTTTATTGCCTGGTTTATATTTCTCCCGTTGACGAGTAAAAATGTAATTTTAAACTGGAAACGCACAAATTAATTCATTATAAAAAATGTTAGCCTCGAGATGATTTTAAATTTCTCGTCGTTGAAATGTTTGAGTCGAATTTTCTTCGTAAATGAACTCACTTGATCGCATCCAACGGTCGAGTCTGGGCGTTCCCGAGGAGAAGCTGCGAATATCACCGAACCCGTGGAAATCGACGCGAGAGTCCAGAATCCCAATTGCGACGAGAGGGGGATCGAAGGATCGGGGAGGGATCGGGGCGAGATCGGGGCGAGGGAGAGGGAGGAGACAGAATTTCGCGTCTCACCTGCGTGCTTGATCGATGATGACGGGTGGGTGGGCCGGAATCACAGGACTCCCCGGTCCGAGGCGACTTCGAGTCCAGAGCGACTTCGAGTCCCGAGCGACTTCGAGTCCGCGATGGGCAACTGCATGCCCGACCGCGGGCGAAAACGCACGAAAAACCCCCCGGGCTCCGTGCTCGACCGCGTCATCTCCCAGGCGAGCAGCCAAGACGACTGCCTGCTCTACAAACTGGCCAATTATAAGGGGGCGGGGGAGCTGGTGGATGCGTACTCCATCGGTGGGAGCAAGGAGGTGGAGAATCTCATCGAGGAACAGTTCGGGATCTTTCTCTACGAGCAAGGTCAGGGGACGGTGATCGACAAGCAGGAATACCTCAAATGGTGCAACCGGACCGGCTCCGCTCAGGTACTTTTCTCCGCTTCGACTAGGCTAATTAAGACTCGGCTAATTGCGCATTCGTGACGTCAGTGTCTGGACGGAGTGACCTTGACCCTGGAGGACGACCGCGACGACTGGGAGGACCACGAAGCCTGTTGGAAGATGGAGTACCGCGGGAGCCTGGGGGAGTCGCTGCTGCACGTCCTCATCATGTGCAACACTCGCGTCCACACGCGGCTCGCGCGGCTGCTGCTCAAGGTCTTCCCGAAACTCTCCGTCGACGTCGTCGAGGGAGACGAATATCTCGGTGAGAGGAAATTCCTCTCTTGTAAATAAATAAATAAATGTATTTTAGTTGTCGAACGTATTTTTCCTCGTGTTTAGGTGCTAGTGCGTTGCATTTGGCCATCGCGTACAACAATCACGATCTGGCAACCCTGCTGGTCGAATGCGGCGCCAAAGTGAATCAGCGTGCCATCGGTCAGTCTCTTTTCTTCTCTCGCGGTCGCGTCTGATCGAATCAGACGCAGTTCCCCATTCACTCGCCGCTCCATTCACCGCGAATCGATCGATCCAGGGAGTTTCTTCCTGCCTTACGACCAACAAAGGGACAAGAAACGACGGAAGCCCGACGCATCGAACTACGAGGGGCTGGCCTACTTCGGGGAGTATCCGCTCGTCTGGGCCGCCTGCTGCTTCAACGAGGCGCTTTACAATTACCTCTTGGACCGGGGCGGAGATCCGAATTTGCAGGATTCCCTCGGCAACATGACTCTGCATATCCTGGTCGTCAATGACAAACTCGTACGCATTTCTTTAATCACCTTCGAACCATCCGACGAGAAAAATATTTAAAAAAAAGAGGATATCATTCCATTTTTTTTTACAATCAACTGCTCACCCTAAGATTGGGGTTGTCACCCGTTCATAATTAGCATGGACAGTACTTGATTCAGATCCGACCGTCCATGCTGCAAACTCAAGGTCGGACTGGCCCACCGGGATACCGGAAAATTTCCTGGGGGGACTTTGGGCCTTTGGCTTCCTCTTCTCCCTCTCTGGGGGGGGCGGGGGGCGGGGGGCGGGGGAAGGGGAGGGGAGGGGAGGGGAGGGGGGGGGGTTGTCCTAGGCCGCCAGTCCGACCCTGCGCTAACTGGTCTTAATATGGGGTCAGTTGCACTGTCTCAGTGAAGTCAGACTTAGGAAGCAAGGTGAACAGGCTCCCAAAGTCAGACTTGGTGCGAAAGTCTGACTTAATGAGGCAGTGCGACTGGCCCATGGAACTCTTTCGTTCATTTTCTTTCTTCTTTCAACAAAGCTTAATAGCTGCTAAAACTGCTCTATTTCGAAAGTCAGTCTCCATTCTTGCTAACAGTTAGCGAAAGCATAAATTACCTATTTACTTACAGCTTCCTTATACAGTAGTTGCTTTCAGTGAAAACTCTTTTTTTTGGACGTATCTCTAATTGATCTGTAACAAGACAAAAAAATGTTCCAAAACTATTTAAAGGAAAAAACGCAATTTTTTTCCCCCAAAACATTCTCACAACTTTCAGCTTTCAGAAAAACCTAATTTCAGTATGTTGCGATCACGATTTCTTACATTTTTTGGCCCGTATTCTGATAATAGCAAATATTTTCGCAGAAAGCAACAACCATTTTTGAACGTGAATACTTTGCCAAATGATGCTTTTTTTTCAGCTGAAAGAAGGAGGGCATAAATAAAGCTTCAAAGAGAAAAAAAGAGCTGTACGAGAGGAGCAGGAAGGCGTGCAACACAGAGCTGTTTTTTTTTAGTAAAATTTTGAACTCATTTGTATTGTGAAACCTTTTAAAGTGGAACCTTTTGAAGTAAATTTCAAGGGGAGTTTAGATACTGAGACTACTACTGCAAATAGTCGTATCCGTATAATTGGTCAACAAGGCCGAACACGCAAACTATCGTTATTATATGAAAACCAATGCAAAGCATATTTCACTTGCGACGCGATTTGATCTTCACATCGGTGTAGGATGTTAACATCGATGTAGGATGTTAACATCGATGTGGGATGTTAACATCGGTGTGGGATGTTAACATCGATGTAGGATGTTAACATCACATCATCGAATTCATCAACACGTGAATTTATTATTTGGCATGCTCTACGCATTCAGTTAAAATTTAATCATGACTGTGTGGCCATTTTTCTCCTTAACATAGTTAACAAATTGTGCATGTTTAACAATCAATAACTACGTAGTTAGGCAAAAGGGGGAGGACATTTTTATACCACTTGGTAACCCGTGCTTTCTAGTATAAGCATGAAGAAATTAAATAAATTAACTATCGGGTTTTTGAGAAAAACAATTTTCCCTCATTTTAAGGAAAATGATAAAATTTGTCAATTATTATCAAACTAGTATGAATGATAAAAATGCCAAATGACACCAAGAGATACATGGATGAATGTAGTTTGAGAAAATATATTTGATTCAAATTGGGATTCACTTTTAACTATCGGGGGAAAAAAATCGCCAAAGCAGACGAATTTTGCAGTTTTTATGATTTCGAAAATTTAAAAGAAATATTTATAAAATAATAACTAGGTATCTTTGACATGTGTACACAGTACGTACTTTCAAGTAAGCGATACCAATTTTTTTTATTTTAGTAACCTATGTAAATCAGTTTAGGAGATACAGTACATCAAAAGTTGGGAAAAACAGCGATTTGGATAGTCGCCCTTTTTAGGGCCCTCCACTCATGAATTTTTTTCTCCGTAACCATTGCATACATAGAGGTGAATGAGCTACCATATTTCATCACTTGGGATGGGAGGACCACATATGGATTTTGGAAAAAGTCGAAGACTATGACCTGACACGATAACTATGGACCTGTCTGTTTTAAATGAAACCATCTTGGTATACTTTTGACAGTCAAACTACGAGCATGCAGATTCCTGATAACACCAAAAAAGTGGCTTTTGAGCTTTTTTTTTTTTTTAGCGATTCTTGTCGAGACGGGGCGCATTCAGTTGTGACTCGATCTAACTGGGCGAGTCATGAC